TCATTACAACACCAAAGATTCCAAACATTGCACCACAAGTAGCTTCACATTTATAAAACCCATCCCTAAGTTTCATCCTTGCCAACACTACACATTTTATAAACTTTTCGTGAATTTGACATATTAGCTGTCAGAGATTCGAGCTTTTTTTACATATGAAATGATAAGACTTGAAAAAATACTTTTGGTAGTAGCAGGAAAACATTCTTCCTGGGGAAATATTATTTTGACCTCAATATTATCGTTTCCTTTTTTTTCTCAAATAGAAACAATCATTTCTATATCGATTATGAACAAAATTTGTAATGTTCTGCAAATTCTTTTGTAGGTCCTGCCATATTCTAGCGTAGTTCTTTACTGTTTATTCAAAAAATTGACGCTCTGACACGTTAGTGAATTTTCATATCAATAAATTCTTACATACCAAAGTCAATAAAACACGTTAATAACACTAATCTGTTTTACAAAAGTTTTAATGTTGTCAAACGGACTTGAATCCGTTCGATCAACTTGGTATTTACACAGGCATTAACAACAAGGGTTGTTGAAAATCTTCTTTTTTAGGTGCCGTGTAAACGTGGTCTGATGTTTTGTTATGGATTCATATTAGGTATGTTTGATTTCTCTGTGCAATAATAAATATTTATTGTTGTGAGACAACTAGCTTAATGAATAGCATATTCAACACCTTATATCTTCATAATGTTAATAAAAACTAAACTGGGGAAACAGAGATTTATTAGTCCAGGGGTACTAGGTTTTCGAGTTCAATTATGGATAAGATGAAGCAATTCATTCGTAAAATTACTACTTTTTGTCACGAATGAGTTGAATCTTCTCACGTAGTGACATTCATTCGCCTATTTGATTAAATCCCATTCAAACAAGATTCTTAGGGTTGGGATTTAATCAAATGAGCGAATGAATGTCATTACGTACTGTAATCAACGACATGAGCGGTTTTAACTCATTCGTGAGATAAAGTCGTGATTTTATGAATGAACTGAGTGCTTTATCTTATGTTATCCAGATTTGGTACTGAAGAGGCGGCGATAAGGCAAGTATTTTTTGCTGAAATATCAGTGAGGATGACAGTGTTTCATGTAAGTAAAATTTCACTTTTTTTTATTTCACTGTAATTTTTGCTTAATATGCTTGTTATTTTCAGCTATTCTTTTATAATTTTTCTTTTTATTTGTTCTTTCAGGGATTTAAAATCATTTTGTAAAATAGTAGACAATGGAAGTCCGAACTAATGATATTAACCTCTTTTATTTACTTTAATGCGTAGGAATCCTGTGAATGATATCTGATTCAATTTCAGAAGGGTGTTTGGAATACAAACTGAATAGGAAAAAGTGTTTTTATATAATTCAGTGTTCATATAAAAGTATTTGTTCGAAAGTATTTCTTTCGTGTATTTCAATGTTTATATGAAAGTAGCTGTTTCGAGAGGACTTTATTTTCTTACAGTTTGTGTCTGAAAGTTGCTTCTTTGCATGATCTACACATCTTTGTATTGTTTTCTAATTAATAAAGTTTATAGTATGATTTTCACCGCGGTTTTTGTAAAACCCTTCATAGCGAAAATCATACAATAAACTGTATTGTTAAGTTTTAATATCGATTTTCATCAAGTATCGGTCACTTCTATTAAGTGATTTTCAGCAAGCTCTGCCGCTACATAAAGTGCATACAGTGTTAAATTACTTGGGTTACTTGTCGATAGTACCCTCACTTGGACCTGTCATATTGACCAATTGAGTAAAAAATTATCTAGAATTTTTTTTACTGCGTCAGTTGGGAAATATAACTAGTTTCGATACACTGAAAATAACATATTTCTCTCTCTTCCGTTCTCACATTAACTATGGGGCAACTTAACTGGATCTGTAAAAATTTTTAAATTGCAGAAAAAAGCTCTCAGAATAATTACTAATTCTTGTTAAAGAAATCATTTTCTATCACTGTTTTTGAAATTGAGAATAATGCTGTTACCCACATTATCTTTGTACAACGTTCTCATAGAAATTCATAAAAAATCAACTTCTTTATTCAAGAAATCATATTTTCATGACTATAATACCAGACATTGTAACAAATTTCGGACAAACCGCTATCGTTTGAGTAAATCACAAAAGAACACACTGAATTTCAACCTCTATAACTATCTTCCCGATAGTTTCAATATTCTTAGTATGTCCAAATTCAAAAAAACCATAAGAAATTATCTTTTGAGTTTTTGCTTCTATTCTGTCGAAGAATATACGTGAATCATTTTAAATGTTTATAATGTCAACATACATACTCAATTTTGTTCTTATATTTTTGTATTTGTGTTTCTCGTTTATTTTTGTAATATTTTGATTGTTAACAAATTACTTTCATGCATTTTTGACTTGCTACAAACATTTTATAATGTAACGTGGTGAAACAAATTATTTTATGATTGCTTTCCGCCTTTCTTTGAAAATTCTCACATTTTTATGTATAAAGATGGAGAAGTAGAAAGCCTAAACCTTACATTCTTGATATTTTTAGAAAGCCAGACAAATTGAAAGTGGGTAACGCAAAGTAAATCACTTTGAAAAGATTAGTCTACTGACAGTCATTACCGAACAGTAATAACCATTCTCAAATTTTTATTATTTTTTAAAAGCTGTAACTTTCCCAAAATTCGTGAGATGAATAAGAATAAATGACATATTTTCTGATTAAAATCAAACGATATATTCATTATCACTCCTCCAACATAAAGTTCAATTCATAACAATCACCTCTCAGCTAAATATATCGAGTGGTCCAACGAAAAGTATGCACCTTGCTTTTCTCCTTTTTTTGTAACTTAACGCAAAAATGCTCGGACAGTTCAATTTTGCTTTTGAAGGGGACACATTTTAGATGTATTTTTCTACCTGTGCCTTCAATCCCCTAGCGAAGGTGAGTAACAACCCTAAAATTTTAAATGGAAAGTGGGGTCGAGTGATGTATCATTTGAAAGGGCCCGGAAGAAGAATTTTATTGAATTCGAAACGTCGGAAAGAAAACAATGTTTGGTTTTTGAATTGGTCCTGTTACCCAACCAACCTTTTTTCATTTGTTTGTTTTCTGAGGGTAAAACATGAGCACTACAGGAAAATCCTGTAGTGCTTGTGCAAAAGTAGTGATTCACATTGGATTTGAATCGCTGGAGATTAAATCCATGTGGAAAAACGTTCTCAGAAAATTTATTCTACATAAACGCAGTTCTCCAAATGTGGCCACCTTAACGCCACTGTGTGGCGTTACGGTGGAAAAAAAATTTCATCTGATAGATGGATAGATAGATAGATAGATTAGATAGATAGATAGATAGATTCATTAGTCCTTTGTGCTACATTATGTAGATGGGACAGGTCATATTTCTCAAGTGTAATATAAATGTATAACATTATAAGATATCATTTGAATGAAAAATAATGTGACACACATTGTAAAACAAACATATACATATTAAAATATAAGTAAAAAATAGAAATAGATAAATAAACAAAATGTTACGATATAAACGTCACAATGTCAATGATCTGACATTACCAATTTCAAGTATAAATTCATCTACTGTGTAGAAACCTTTTTCTGATAGAAACACTTTCAACTGTTTTTTAAAAACTTGAGGTGGCAGGGTCTTCATATCACATGGCAGTATATTAAAGAGACGGATACCAGCAAACATAGGAGACTTTGTATACTTTGCGTGATGGTGTTTTTGGGTGATGAGCATATGGTTATTCCTAGTATGATAATTATGGACTTCCGATCCCGACTCTAGTTGTCTTCTATTTGCATGGATATACGTCAATGTTTTTAGAATGAACAAACAGGCAACAGTTAGTGTTGATTGAAAATTAGCCTCAGTAATGCTTTCTGTTTTCTGAAAATTCTGTCCACCTTAGTTGCTGAACCCCAGACAGCAATGTTGTTGTAAATAATGGATAGAAACTTAGCTGAATAAACTGATATCAGTGTCTTAGTATCTAATTTATTCTTAAGGGACTTGATGAAATAATACGATTGGTTCAATTTCTTGGACATGAACTCTATATGTTCTTGCCAAGTGAAATGTGAGTACATTATTGTTCCTAGGAATTTTGTTGAGCTTGTTAATGCCAAGGATTCATTCCGGAAAATTAAATTGATTTCATGTAGGCTTCGAGATGAATTTGCAAATTCCATGCATACAGTTTTTCTCAGGTTAACTATAAGTCTATTCCTGTAACACCTGTCATTAAATTCGTGTAGGACTGAGTTTACAAGGTTATTCATTTCTTCCGTTGTTTTACTTGAAAGAATAATGCAAATGTCGTCTGCGTAAAGGTATATCGCACCATTACTTATATTATCAGGTAGATCACTCATATATAATAATTTTACACTTATTTAGTTACGCTCTGTAGATTACAATTGAAATGTTGCTAACGAAAGTGGACCTGCTTCAGCTTTCACAATAAAATTATTACAGTTGAAATTCATATACGCCATTCAAAAAACTATTTTATATTAGAAATATTTGAACGAAATTCCAGGTATTCTTTTTGTGTAAAAATCGATTCTGATTACTTTCGAAAGAATATATAACATTAAGTAGCTCTCTCGGCTTGCAAATTAGTTTCTACTTCTAGAATACTTCGAATATAAATAAAAGAATTAATTCATAGTACATTCGTCGTAAATAAATTATTCATCGAAAGTTTCCATAATTCTTAATAAGGACTGTAAATACTAATTAATGTAATCAACCATTCAGAATAATAACATTTGATATAAGACGCAGAATGATTACATATTGGTCAAAAGCTAGACCGATCAAGGGCATTTCACAGTTTCATTCAGTATTATCAGTTTTGCATATTTACAATATGTCTGAATGAATTTTTCGCCACCTATTATTACGGTTTAATATAAAACGTAACATTGGGTTCAATGAAAAAAAAAATACTATTAAACCTCTATTAATATTAAACTTCTTCAACATTGTATTTTTTCAGGGGCATGATACCACCTCATCAGCTCTTAGCTTCATCTTGATGATGTTAGCAGTACATAAAAAATGGCAGGTGAGATTCGCTTTGATTTTAAAAACTCGAAAATTTGTTGACTGGTAAGTATATAACAATAAGCGCCCTTTCACAAGGGGAGCTTAACGTCTCTCACTCCCGAGAGAAAGAAAGGCTCTTTAGAGCCAAAATGCAACGGAGCTTTCAGACGAAGGGCGGGAGCCGCCACTTCACGGGAGACGAGAGCTCTCACGACATCTGCACCTTGAGCCGGGGAGCCTCGTGTCCTAAAAATTCAAAAGCATGAGTAAGGGCTTCCACACGAGGAGTGAAAATGGCTCTCCCTGGTTGACGCTTCATACTATTTATCATGGCAGATTACGATATGGAGCTGTTGATTAGTGCTGTCTGCAACCCACTCCTTGGGATAAAAGTCTCGACATTTATAAGGACCTAAATGAAGTCGTAAAAAGTTGGATGGAGGTCTGCAAGGTGCTCAACGTAGATTCCGCAACTTTATGCATCCCATTCTTGATCCTTGACGTCTGTACATTATCAGGTCCGAAAGAAAAGTCATTTGTCGATGTTATGACTTGTCGAATCATTTTTGTGCATCCGAGAGGTCGAAGGACTTTCTTGCAAAGGACTTCACCGGCAGCTACCTATAGAGAACTTATGGAAGTGGTAAATGCGACCATAAGGGGTCCCTACCACATTCTCTTCAACCCTATTTTTATTGTATATTAACGATTTATTGAAAAAACCAAGAATCCAATATATTACCTACTTTGCTGACGACAGCACACTTGTCTCGTTACTCCATTTTGATTCAAAGACATCGGCTGCAAATGCATCTTCAGGGGCAGCAGGAGGTTGCATATCTTAATGAAGATCTGAAAGTGATTTCGAATTGGGATGACTAACCAGGTTCAATTCAATTCCACAAAAACCCAAGTGTAGGTTTTCGCCAAAAAGATAAATGTCTCGGAACCGTATATAATAATGTCAGGACAGACACTTCCGCTTTCTGCTTCCATGAGTTTGTTGGCACAACCATGTCGCTGGAATTGTAAAGGCTGTGCTTCTCAAAAGTTCGGAACACTGTTCCGAACCAGAAAAATGTACACACCTCAGCAACTTGATGCTTTATAAAGCTCAAATTAGACCTTCTATGGAGTATTGTTCTCATGTATGGAGCTCTGTCCCTAAGCATACCCTGAAGCTGCTGGATTCTATCCTGAGAAGAGCTATCCGCCTGATTGAAGACGCGAACATCACTTACAACCTTGATAGTCTGGAACATAAAAGAAAGACTGGAGATTGGTCTCTCTTCTATAGATATTTTCACGGGAAGTGTTCAAGTGACTTTTGAGGTTCATCTCAGTAAACCTCGAACTTCACTGTTCAAGATCTCTTCCGTTTGGAGAACTACGTTTATGGAGAATAAACTTCCCAAATGTATTTAATCTCCAGCGCTCTAAAAGCGCCTCAAGGATTTTTCTGTAGTGCTTGTTTTTTGTCCTTGAAAATTTCTGGTTTTTTCATAGGCAATAGTTCGAAGAATAGAGAGCTCTAAAAATTTATCTGGAACAACACTCCCACTTTTGTGAATCGATAACACCAAGAAGCAGTGGATTTCAGCAGCCATATAAATGGAGGTAATGTCTTTTGGTGAATTTAAAAACATTTCAGTTTGAGATTGTGAGTTCAATTTTGGCGTGGTATCAGACATCATTGATAGTCAGCTCATCTGTACCTTTCCTATGAGTATTCCTTAGAATGTATATACGAACTAAAACAGGAGTTCTATGAATTGAAGGGGTTATATTTTTAGAAGTGATTATTGAATGAATGGTAACAAATTGCACTTACATATAACACTGTCATCCTCACTGGTATACACCGATGTTTCACCTTAAGATACTTGCCCCAAGGCTCATCAGTACCAAATTGGATAACATTATATAAAATACACACACTTCATTCACGAATTACGATTTTTAATGTCACGGAATAAGCTTGATGAATGAATGAATGTCATTACGATGTCATCGATGACATAAGCAGAAGACGAAACATCGGTGTATACCAGTGAGGATGACAGTGTTCTTTTTTTTGTATCAAGATGGAGTAGTAGAAATCCAAAAACTTTCTTTCCCAGGAGTTTTATGTTTCATCATTGGCTGTAAGTTCAAAAGAAAAAGCACAGGGAAATCAAAATTTAGTCCGATATGAGTAATCCGCCCAGAGTTATGTCACAGCCAGTTTTGTTTATACCAGAGAACAAATGAGTTCTATTAAGGTGCGTATTCACCAAAAAAAGCGAGCATGAGCGAGCATTCGTTTGCTCGTGTTCGCTCATGTTCGCTCGTGTTTGCTCGACATATTGATATCTCGTCCACACCAGAGCGAATATCTTCAAGTTCGTAGTCGTAGTTGATCCATCTACTTTGTGCGAGCCTTCTTCTCGATCTTTTCTGAACGCTATCAACCATACGTTCGCTCGCTCGCTATCCCGTACTCACCAAACGATTATTGATGCAGAATGCTCGTTCAGTCTTGCTCGCTCGTGCTTGCTTTTTTGGTGAATACGCACCTTTAGGAATCCTTTCTGCTCAACTGTGCTCAAAAAAGTAAATGTTTATGCAATATGAAAAATGAAATAAAGTCTAGTTCATTCACAGACACTCCAGATATGATCTTTATTTTCGCTTTCAGGATTTGATTTACGAAGAAATCATGCAGACCTCAGGCGAATCCACGGAATATCCATCGTTGAAGGACTTGAATGATTTGAAACTCATGGAAAGAGTCATCAAAGAAAGCCTTAGAGTTTTTCCAGCTGTTCCTTTCATCGGAAGGATACTCGAAGACGACATACACGTCAATGGATATTTATTGCCAAAGGGAGCGTCGGTACATATTCATATATTTGATATTCATAAGAATCCAAAATACTGGGACGACCCGGAAAAGTTCGATCCGGATAGATTTTTACCGGATAATTGTGTCAACAGACATCCGTTTGCATATGTTCCTTTCAGTGCCGGGCCAAGAAATTGCATTGGTGAGTATTGCAACAACGGTGGATCCAGCTTTGGCGCCAAGGGGGTTACATAGTCGTGGTCAAGTCTCAAGAAGTTATAATTTANAAGAAGTTATAATTTAATTTTGATAATAATAATTACGAGTAAAAAGTAGGCATTTTATTAATAAATGTAAGTACTGTACCTAAAAATACCTACCTATATTTAAATAACAAAATAAATGTTTCCTTTACGTCTTCTCCCGAAACGCGTTATTGCTTCATCTACTTCAGTGGTACAGCCGTTTCTTCTTTTTTGCTTCCGACATAATTTTGTCTTCAAAAATGCCGAAGAGAAGATTCGAGTATTAAAAACTTGCTAATGACATCACTCACAGTTTTCACCACCACGATCTAAATTCACTTGTGTTCGCAATATCGTCGAATGACATTACTGACTGTGAAAAGTCATCCTCAGTTCAATCAGGTTGAAGCCTAGCTCCCTTACCCTCTCAGCTGAAATTACTGTCTGGATGGCATGCGCGCTTTCATATGAGGCAGCGGGCGGGCCTAGTACTTTCGAGAATGGAGACTAGAAACTTCTCGCTTCGCATTGAAGCTTACCGCCATCTATTGTACAGATTGACAACTATCGGGCAGGACATAGTTACTGTCTAGTCCCCTAGATGACGTTACACGGGGAAACGTGCGTTAAGGGTAAAGAAGCGGTTGTGTTGAAAGCAAAAAAAACATTTTTAAATTAGCCATCGCCCCCTGAACCGCTTCAACGCCCCCCAGTCTTCTCTGTGTCCTTTTCTGCCCCCCTGTAGGCCTCCAGCGCCCACAAGGAGGCGTTATCGCCCACTTTGAGAAAGACTAGGTTAGACGCTCTTCAACTATTGAAGCTCTTAGCCACGATTTAATTTTTTGTAACGTAGAGAAAGAGTTTTCGGTTGACGCTACACTAACAGGTAGTGTATCCATAAAATTTATATTAGAATACATCTCAATACCGCAATTTAAAAAAGAAGTCAGAAATCTACTGCGGTATATCCTGACTACGCTGCCACTTCACTATCCACAGCCGATATTAGTTTCCAACGACAGAAACTGGAGTATTGTCTAATAACAATGTTTATTCAAATTTTCGATACGTTCGTTCCCGAATAATGCGTTTGCCACCAAACAAAGTATTATATTAAATTAACTGAATAATGAAGGTACTAACAACGATTGTAACATTAAAGAAAAAAGTAATACCCATCATGAAATTATGAAACAACAGCAAGAATTAATTGGCGCTCCGGGGCGACTTGATTGATTCCAGTGACGCATATACTTTTTCTGCAGCAAGAAAACCCGGAAAAACCTGCAGCACCACATCATCTGAAGATCTTGATTTGCCTATGTCCTCTTTTTCATAAAACAAAATGAAGGGTGTCTCCAGAGGCTCCATTAAATTCCAGACATCGCCAGAACACTTAGTGACACGACTATCGTCAAACATAAACCAGTCCGTTTCGTCTTTGACCAATGCGAAATAATGACCAGATTCAACGCCAGAACTACAGTGAACAATGACTGCATGAAGAATATGATAGTGTTCTGACAGATCGAAGTGTTTCTCTGTTTTGAACCTTTATAAGAGTTTGGTGCTTCCGTCAGAGGTTGAGTCATGTTTGAAGTCACATACGTTTTTGCTACCTCTTGAACATTTACTATAAAGTAAAGAAGTGCCTATTTTTCCAGCAAAAGCTCTACAAACACAAAACGAAATAGACTGTACGGAATCATTCAATCCAGAGCGATCAGGAGTATTGATTCTGCTATTTTTTGTTAAAAAAAAAGTGTATTCAACAATGACCCCAAGAATTCGGAACAATCCTCTTGTTGTCCTAACGTGTACCTAGTGGATTTCAAAGACTCCAGGAAATCGGTTGATAGGAGAGATGATACATTCTTACGAAACTGCAACTTTTATGACTGGTACATGAATACGCTTTATATTTCAGTTTGAATCTACAGAAATTATACTAAATAAAGTTTATCTTCATTTCAGAGACAGCCATGGGAGTAAAACTAAATATGGAAAATAAGGAAGACAGAATCTATGTTGAGGCCATACATGAACTTGGTCCAATGGTTTTTTATAGGTTAGCCAGACCCTGGCTCTATTCGTATCCAATCTATTATTACGCTACCCTGAGAGGTTATAGAGAACGAAAACTAATCGAAAAGCTACACAAATTCACGGAGAATATCATCAAAGAAAAATTTGAGAAGTTCGAAACATTTGAGAACACACAAGGCGATGACAACTTTCCGCAGAAGAAAAAGCTGGCATTGTTAGATTTGTTGCTCAACGCTAAAATGATCGACGGAGTCATTGATGATGAAGGGATAAAGGATGAAGTTAATACTTTTATGTTCGAGGTATTATTTTTGAAAAACGATAGAAAATATTTCTCACGAAAAAAAACATCAATTTTCAAGTACTTCTCAATATAATTGAATGAAAAAATTGTTGTTCCTCTAGGAGTAACTAATAATAATATACAGGGTGATTCAAAAGTACTTTGACAAACTTCAGGAGGTGATTCCTCACAATATTCTAATATGAATTGTCCAAATCAATAAATGTC